GTGCTGGGGGATTGAACCGCGGTCCCTGATGCTTTTGCTAAGCTTGTTCTAAGTAGGTGCTTTAGACCACTGAGCCATCTCTCCAGCCCACTGATGAAGAACATTATGGAGCTCCAGAGGAAAGTCATCAATGATGTAGACTTCGCCTAAGTAGAGTCAACTGGAATAGGGATTTTTTTTTTTTGCTCCTCCTCGAATGCCTTCAGGGCACTTTTGGCTGGCTGCAGAGTTGTGGGGATCGAACTACAACCACCTGAGGCTGACAGCTCTGTGGAAGCAGCCACTTAAAGAACTGAGCTAGGGCCAGGCTCCCAAGTAGAGTCAACTGGGGAGAAAACATTCTCTCTGTCTCCTGCTGAGAGCAAATTCGTCAAATAATGGCCGTGAGTCATCCACATGGCTGACTCTGATAAATGATGTGTCAATGGGGTGCAAGGTTTCAAGGTAAATCCTGAAAGGATTTGACTGATGTTGACACATCCAAAAATTACATTTTTCTTATGTAGGTCTTGCTTTATCGTGATCTTAACTATCCAGCAGAAAAGTATAAAAGCGAGGTATAAAATTAAAGCCTTGTTAATAAGCTGAGCTGTAAAAAGCTCAAGTCAAGAACTTCTGACCTTGCCAGTCCTATGGATAACCCACTACAATTATGGACAACTAGAGTATACTGGATTATTTTGCTGAATTCATGCACCTACAATCTTTATATGGCAAGGGAATATCCATCTCTGACAAAACTAAACAAAAAAGTGGGTAAAATGCAGAACCTCACAGTATGTGTATATACAAAATATGTAAGATAGATATACAGCTACTTTCTCTTAATTCAATGAAAAGAGAGATTTGTACTAAGTGTCTGGAGAGGATATCTTGTCTGCATCTTGTACTGTGAATAACCACTATGAAGACAACAATTTGCTAGGTATTAATTATTGAAACTGTCCTACTTATCAGTGTTGAAACTGTCTCATTGTTGTTTCTCAATAAAATTTATAGAAAACTAGTAATTTTATTGAAAAATTCTTCAGGTTAAGCAATTAAGAGAGAATTGGCTTGCTGCTTTAGTAAGCTTGATATGTACTCACTTGACAGAAGCATGAATAGATGTTGTTATGAGACATTGGTAGGACATGCACCTCCTTAATGAGAAATTCACATTTGTGACCTTACTTAGTGCTAGTGACTATGCCTCAAACAATCTTCAAATGCCCCAAGATTCAAATTCAGCATCGGAGGTTACAAATTTGGGGTTAGGGGTCACTAATAAGATTTTTAAATCACAAGTGGTGTGATATAGGAATGGAATCTAATTGTGGATTGAATATATACTCTAAGGACTTCTGTGCTCTCTATGCAGGCTTGTGCTCAACAACTACCAGAATGTTCTAACCTTCATGTATGCTATTGAAGAGATCAACAGGAATCCTCTACTTTTACCCAACATATCTCTGGGATATGAGTATCACAACATACTATACAGTTATTGGAGGCTGTTGGAATCTTTCTTCATATTGCACACAGGACAGGACACAATCCCTAATTATACCTGTGGGAGAGAGAGCAAGTCTGTAGCTCTAATAACAGGAACATCATGGGCAAATGCTGTTCAAACTGGCACACTACCAGAACTCTACAGATTTCCTCAGGTGAGGGTGGGCATGCTAGGGTGGGATAAATTCCTGTCACATTTGTTGGCCATCTCAGGTTTCTAAAGTAGATGAAAATATAGACACAGTTCTGTTTCATTTAGTTTCTATAATCCCACAGTGTATTACAGAGAGATTTTTGGGTTACCCATCTTCATGAGTGATGAGTGAGAAAGGAATGAATTTTCCTGGAACTCAGAGTAGGATTGGGAGTTTTCAAAAATAATGCTTTAAAAATGAGTTAATTATATAGAGGGGAGGGATATGTATATTCTTACATGATTAATAGCTCATTCTCTGTATCCCTGAAGTCTTAGTTTGTGCTGTATATGAACTCTCAATATTAATACTCATATTTAATTTTGTTTTTTATTTGTTTAGGTAACCTTTAGTTCGTTTGATCCTATGTTTAATGAAAACAGTCATTTTGCTTCTGTTTACCAGACAGCTCTGAAAGAAACATCACTGGCCAGTGGGATGGCTTCCTTGATAGTGCATTTCAGCTGGACCTGGGTTGGACTGGTCATCATAGATGGTAAGAAGGGTTTTCAGTTTCTCTCAGATGTGAGAGATGAGATGGATAGAAATGGAGTCTGTGTAGCATTTGTTAAAATTATAACAAATCTTCTTGTGTCTTATCTCTTAACTACACAACACCATGATTTTGTCACCAGGGAATCTTCTCCAGTACATGTGGTTATCCTTTACTATGATACTGAGAGTCTAAATACTATAAACTATTACATAGGACAGCATTTAGTGACATGGAGAGTCTGGATCACAAATTCACAATGGCATGCAGACAGGGCTGGGAGACATTTCATGTTTGATACTTTCCATGGAGCTCTCATATTTTCACAACAACATGGGGAGATTTCTGGTTTTAAAAGTTTTGTCCAGAGAGTGAATCCTTCCAAGTACCCAGAAGACACTTTCCTTACTTGGTATTGGTTCCAGAATTTCCATTGCACATTATCAGATTCTGACTGTATGGTGAAGGACTGTCCCCCTAATGCCTCTCTGGATTGGCTACCTCATTTTGACACAGCCATGAGTGATGGAAGTTACAATATTTACAATGCTGTGTATGCTGTGGCTCATGCCCTTCATAAAATGTTCCTTCAACAAAGTGAAATGGAACCAGCGAGAAATGGGATGAAAATGGCATTTTACCCCTGGCAGGTAATGTTTAACTTATCCCATTGCATCTCTTTTTATCAAGATCATTTTAAAGGTGGGTCCATAGGGGTTTAAAGCAAGCATGTATAAGTACTTTCTGAATAACTCTAGATTCTGTGCTAGTTTTATCACTGTAATACAATTTGCTCTGATGAAGAGTCAGAATCTTTGCATTCATTCTCCATGCATCAGTGCTAAAGCCTTCTTTATGATTTCAATTTTTTTTATAAATCTGAAACTTTACCTTTAATTCTTAAACAAAAAGTCATATATTTCATGTAACACTTCATTGAAGATTTTATATGAATTTTACATACAATTCTGCAATAACCTCTATTATTGATATCTTGCTTTTAAAGGCAGAAGTTGTGGAAATAACCAGAGTGAGAGTGCATTTGAAAAACCTTCATTTGAGTGCACTGTGCATTTACAATGATTGGATTACAATGTTTTATTTTGAAACTGACATTTTACAAAGTTTTGGTAGCTTAACCTCCATTATCTTTTACTTGTTCCACCTCACTGGATAGCTACATAAATATTATGAGATAAGGATTAAAAATACCTACATTCAGGTTTTGTGTCTTAATTCTGAGGCCCATTTCATCATACAATCACTTCTTTTTTTCAGTTGCATTCCTTTCTGAAGACCTTGCAGTTTAAAAATCCTGGAGGAGACCAAGTAAATTTAGATAAGAAAAACAAAGTGGATGCAAAGTATGACATTTTTAATTTTTGGAATTTCCCAGAAGGCTTTAGACTTAGAGTGAAAGTAGGAGAGTTTTCCCAGCATGTTCCAGTTGGGCAACAATTGTCTTTATCGGAGGATATGATAGAATGGGCCACTGGAATTACAGAGGTATGTTAGAGCTAAATGTGATGTAACTTTTGGAAGGAAGACAGTTAAGGTCTTGATGTTTATTTTAACCCCCATTCCTTATCAATCAGTGAGAACACATGGAAATGTAATGATTCACCATGTAATTTCAATATATTTTACTCTGAATCTTTAGTGTTTCTGCATTATTGTTTAAATCTTTCATACTTCTTGATTTTAATTTAGTACATGATGACAAATATTTGTGTAATTTTATTCTTTGACTTTTAGAAAGTGAGATTTTAGCATACCTGTTATCAAAGAGTCTTTTTCTTCTAGTCAATGTGTTTGGTTACTTTGTCAGAGATTAGGTGACTGAGTGTGTTTGGAGTTATTTCTGCATCTTGTCATCTGTTCCACTAGTCTAAGAACTCAAAAAGTAAATAAAGATTGATAAACTTACCAGGTTGGAGAAACTGAATAAATATTATACAAAAATGTATCACAATTTTGAAACAGAATGAAATTGTTAGGAAGAAAGCAAGAGAGCAAGCAAGCAAGTAAGAAAGAAAGAAAGAAGCTAGAGAGAGGAAAGGGCTGGTCAGAAAACTGAGTGGACAAAAGCACCTGTTTAGACAGGTGCAGGGACCTAAGTTCAATCCCAAGAGTGGAGAGCCAGCCCAGTGCCCAGAACTTCTTGGGAGGGTGACTGAGCCTAGTTGTAGTGCCATCACACCTGTAATCCTAGCACTTAGGAGTCTGAGAACAGGAGGATCATTACAAGTCTGATCCAACTCAGTAGACCATGTACTAAATACATAAAAAAAAAGAATTAGGGAGTGGGGGAAAGAAAGGAAACAAAGGAAAAGAAAAAAGAAATAATAATAAAGAATAAAAGATAACCAAACTCTGTAAATAATGAGGGTAAGAAGGTCTTATGGGAGAGAAGAAGATTAGGAAATAAGAGGAATCAATATATATCACATATAACTAAATGTTCCCTATGATGAATATATTCATTAGGTATATATGAATTGCACCAATAAATTTTATGTAAAGAAATAAAGAAATAAACAAAGAAATAATGTATTCCTTTCTCACTTTCTGGTTAATGGGAAAGAAATGCATGTACTAACAACTTTTTCATAAGTATTCATATATTTTATATCATTGAATAAATAAAGGATTTAAGCTGTTTTGGATTTATTTATTGACTTATATAAATTAAGTTTATAACTCTGTTTCAAAGGATTAAGTCAAACTTTAAGAAGTTACCAACACATATTTGACTTTCCTCAGACCCCACACTCTATGTGCAGTGAAAGATGCCATCTAGGATTCAGGAAATCCCCTCAGGAAGGAAAGCCTGCCTGTTGCTTCAATTGTATCCCTTGCCCAGAGAATGAGATTGCCAATCAGACAGGTAAGAGCATGCCCTGTAGATGCATGCTCCATGTTCTTTTCTGTTCCCTAAGTGTCCATAACTTATCCAATTTCAGAGATAATTCTTGCTTCATTTAGTTAGCAATTTCATTGTTTCACTCCATAGTCTTAGCCCTGGGGGTGGGGATGAAAACACTCAGAGCCCTTTGGCCTGTACTCTTCATAATTTTTTTCTTTTTTTGCTGATGGTAAAGTGCAGTGATGGCTTATCACCAAACTACATCCCCAGCCTTTTCATTGATACTTTGAGTTAAGCTCTTACTGCATTTTAGAGGCCAGCATTAGGCACGTGATCCTCTGGCTTCACTTTCTTGAGACATCACATCTGCCTTCTTTCATTTATTTTTCTAGACTCATTGAAAGAGTTGTGTTCTCAATTTCACATGGTATCCCTCACCTGTAATTTCCGCATTCTGGAAGCCTGAGGGAGGAGCATGAAAAATCTTAGTGATTAAGGGAGAGCCCCCTCAATGATCAATGTTAAGGCCCTGCATTCATTCCCCAATATTGTGCAAAATAGAGAGGCAGCATTATGTGCTCAAGAGAATATCTTTATTCCACCCCACAACCTGTAAGTTCTATGCCCATCATGAAACTTAAAACAAAGTTGTGTGAATCACCAGTGTTTCATCTTCTTTGAAACTACATCATGTAACACTGAAGAAAAGGAGCTTCTATTTTCTTAACTTCTCAGTGGTTGGTTATTTTCTTCACACAGAGTAGGTTCTCACTCAGGGCGGAGTTTTTCATTAAGAAACAGGTATGTGGGCTGGGGCGACAGCTTGTCAGTCTGAATGTATGCCTGGAAAGTGCAAGAAGCTGGGTTCATCCCTGATACCACACATGGTGGCTACCACTTAAACCAGGTGTGATGGTGTACTCCTGTAACCCCAGCACTGAGGAGGCTCAGACAGGGGGAAAAA